TGGCTGTACCACAGGCAGAGTAAAATTCTCAATTCTCAGTACGAGAGCAATACTACTCGCCACTGCTGATGACGATGACCTAAACATAAGGGGAACCGCACTATTTCTTTACAATTCACTCAACTGAGTACTGTTACCCATCACTACCATTAGGTATTCAACGTTTTAACAACTGACTCTGAAAACGCGTTTAATATCTGGCGCTAGCCAAAACCACAGAATGTTGAAAATGTGGAGAAAAAGCGAAAGCAGCGAACAGGCAGAAAATTTAAAAAAAAAAATCAAATTTCTTTTTGGCCGAAAATTATAATGAATTAAAAAAAGAATTACATATATTCATAGGCTCGAACGGACTGATGGTTATAAAGCCTATCGAAAAGGAAGCATCTGCTTTGGCCAACGTTGTTGATTTCATCAGCTACCTTGTGTGCGTAACAAATCCGGCGAAATCTCCGACCTTGTTCCTCCACGTCTAATACACGCATCCACGCAAAAATTCGATCAAGCGATCGCTAAATGCATTAGACAGGCAATAAGTTATTCATCTCTAACACTTAAAAAAAAAACATAACGGAACATCGTGTAACTGCTGAGTTGCAAAATAAATAAATCACACGGAACGCAGAAGAAGATCCTCCAGATTTAAAAAGATCTTGATTAATGAAACTTCTGATCTGGAGAAAAATGCAAAGATCAAGATGACCCCAGCTTGAAGGTTCCAAAAGATAGTCCCTCACGGTTTGGTGCCACCGACTATGCTACTCCAAATCATGTTTCTTCTCAATCTTCCATTCGCGATCATGTATGTAAAAAAAAGAAAAAAAACTCGAAATAGGGACGCAGCATCGCGGTCTAAAATGAAAAATTCACCTGATTGAATGGGATTGCAATATCAGCGTGACGCGAGTCGCGCAACAAATAATCAAATTTGTCAACATCTATCGAATCGCTAATATTTGCAACAATATCGTACAGGAATGACTTATCCACTTCGCGTCCACGATAATGCCATCGGTCGCATGAATCCTGACAACATAGATTTACCCCTGCATGAACAACGGGGCTAGTTTTGATATCTTATTTTTTGGGAACTTCACTTCGTGATGATATGCTCGCAACCATACGACTGCTAAAACTACGGCACGATAGGGGCTATATTAGAAATAAAATCGAGATTTGGGAAAACAAGGGAATACAATTGAAACGACAATGACTGATGAGAATTAGGCTTAAATTAAAAGCAAATTCATAATGGATCCGAAACAGGACGCACAAAAAATGACAGGGAGATTTTAAAATGAGGAGATTTTAGGAATTTTAATGTGGAGACAGACATGAAAATTTCTTTGTAATTGATTACCAACATTTTCATTGGTCGCCAATAATGTAGGCAGTGTGATAAGGAACAAAAATAACTACCAAAGTATTAATTCTTTTACATATATGTGTATATTTGTATACATATATACATGTGTATGTACATATGTATATACGTGTATATATGTATATATATCATATATTATATATAGTACATATATATATACGTATATACACATGTGTGTACATATATGTATGTATGTATGTATGTATGTATGTATGTATGTATGTATGTATGTATGTATGTAT